AAAACATCCCCCTATTTTTACTATAAATATGGAAATGATATACGAATACCGAATTTTTGGGTCAAAATCTCTTTTTTAGTTATCTCAAAATCATGATTTTGCTGTTAGGTCCTTTTCTATTTTCCGCGCCCCATATAACAAACTATTTCACTCCCTTCGGCACTTTTAGGACAAATATAACTAGCAGTGTTGTCATCTTTTCAAGTGAAATGATCATTTTGTTTACCCCTTTCAATTGTTTTGTGACAATTATGACATTGCAAACATTTATGTCCTCGACTGTCTTCATAAGCAGTGACATCTCAATCCAGCATTATTTTACATTGAGGACAAAATATAGTGATTCTATCATCTAATTTTTTTTGAATTATGTTTTCAGAACAATCTCAACGACAGAATTCTTTATGTTCTATCTCTTCTTCATCTCATCAATTAATTTCTAATCCTTCTTTAGTTTGATTACAGTTAAAACATTCTTTTTTGGCAATGATTTTTTTAAACTTTTTATAAGTTTTACAAAAAAAAAAAAAAAACAGTGTTCAATCATGAAAGAGAACCCTTTAAATCATGGTTTGTGGAACATTAGTATTGGTTTTAGAAATCTAGTTACTCATTGGTAAAATAGATAATAAATTTGTTCCTATTATTTTTCTTCTAGAGATCTTGGCTTTTTATTGGGTAATAATGCATCATCATGATGCTTTCTTTTTCCAACATTTATTATTTTTCTTTCTTCTTGGTAAATTTCATAATTAATTCCTTCTTAGATAAGTTTCTAGTGTCTGAGTATTATTTATTTTGAAAATGTAAGGTGCAATTTTTTCACCTTGTCCCTTCTTCAAAATACTTCTAATGGTGCTATAATTTTTGGGTTCCATAGTAGATCTGATGTAAATGAGTTTCATATTAACTATTTTTATATAGAGGTAATTCTATATATCATTGAATATTAAGAAGATAACAAATGGAAGATTTTAATAATCACATTACTGAATTTTGATCCCTGAAATCCTTGGTAACACTAATGTTCACTTTGTCTGGTTTTGTTGCAGTATGCCCCATTTTATATATTTAAATATATGGATTTTATACCCATAATCCAGGACCGCTCCTTAAATAACAGAAAACTGACAAATTTAATAACCCATATATTTGTAAGTAAATATAGTTTTTTACTTTTGATTTACATAGGTTGATATAAAATTTTTTCATGTAACATAATAAATGCATGACTTTCTATGGGGGCGAAAAATCGATTACTATTTAAAAAATTTGCCCAGATCGGCATTAATTAAATCCTTTCCTTAACTGGTGGATCACGAATTAAGTATAATTGACCTTTTGTCATTACTCCATAAAAAATACCAAGAGGTATCTTCATTATCATCTATTATTTATTATTAATAAATGTTTAATATGTTATAATCTAATTTTTATTAAACATATTTTCAAGGAACGATGATGCATATTACAATGAGAATTCTGAACTGATACAAGATCAAAGAAATGACGAGAATACTAACAATAGCAAAAGAGCTGAGATCATTGAAGTAAATAATAATGGAAATATTAACAATGAAGAAAGAAATGAGATTGTTGATGTTGTGCAAGAAAACATAACAATATCAACAAATAGAACATATAGAACATATAGAATACATAATCATCATCGAAATGATCATAACACTCTGTCTCAAAATTATAGTATCACAGATATCACAACTGATGAAAGAGATGATACAGATAATGCCTCAGGTGAGATTGAAGGTAATGATTATAATGTCTCAAATGAAATAGTTGATGAGGAAGCAACTGATGGAAGAGATGATACAGATAATGTCTCAGATGAAATAGTTGATGAAGAAGAAAGCATAGAAAGAAGAATATTAGAAAATTCAAAACAAAAATGGTCACTCCAAGAAGAAAATCTTCTTTTGAATTTTATTTTGAGGAAAAGTATCAATGCTAAAAAACTCAAAGAATCAGGATTATATAGAACCAGTTCTGCAATATCAAACAAGGCTCGAGAAATCAAGTGACAATTAAAAAACTTGTTTAATGCTTAGTGAATTTGACATTTTTATTTATATTTATCTCTTCTCTTTTATAATTATTATTATTATCCTATATATTGCTGTTTGAATTCTCTCTTTCATGCATCTAAAATTTTTTATATTATTATTATTTGTTCATGTTAATATAATGAAATAAATATAAATGCTTACTACTACTGCTACAATCTTTTTTCCTAATAATATGACAATTCTTTTGTTTTTTTGTTCCATAACCATATGACAAAGCCACATGATCAATTTGTACAATAATCTTTGCCTTGTTGCCTCATTCACAGAGCTCCATATTCTTCATTATAAATTTCATAAAATTTTAAAAATAAATTCATAGAGTACATTAATTCATCACCTGAAACTTGGAACCAAGAAAGGTAGAAAAAAAATATATATTTAAAAAAATAATTCTAATCTTTATTGTAAGATTGATTTTGACTAAATAAAACTTTAGATTAAATGTCAACTAAATTCCTATCATAATCATTTAGTATCTATGAAGTGCATAATAATAAAATTCAACATGCATTTGATTATTTTGTAAGTAACAAATGATTGATAAAAAATTCACTTGACTAAATTAACTGATTAAAGAATTTTTGTGCAATGCCAACCTCTATTCCAGTGTTCCATATTCCAGTCATTTGTCATTGGAACTGGAATTTAACATCACTGATCAGAATTAATTGCTAATATAAATTGATTTAGTAATTAAATTTAGTAATTGTAAATTGTATTTTTTTATTACATATGGACCAATACAGTCGGCGCTCGATATAGTGAAGTTTTGGCTAGTACAAATTTGGAAACTATCTGCGTTAATATCCAATCAAATTCAATTTTTCTGAAGATAGTTTCCAAATTTGTACTAGCCAAAACTTCACTATATCGAGCACCGACTGTAGTACCAATATTTATTATAAAAGATAAATGGTAAAAATACTAATGTATGCTGAGACATTTGGAAAGTTTTCACAATGCAAATTAGATATTTATTTGATCAAAAAAATCAATGGAAAGCCAACCCTTCAGTTGAGATTGGGTTAAGGATAACCATCCAGATTTTGATGTGAGTATCAATGGTGATTCTCCTCATATTGTGGCTACTCAAAAAGATTTTCCAGACAAGATTTTTGTAGTGCCTGACTATAAGATGAACAGAGAAGTCCAAGCTCCTAATATCTACCATTTGAAAACTAGTGTCAGTGATCTAAAATACCAAAACTTTACCAAAGGAGCTGCTGAGGAATATAAAAACAATACTTCAAAGAATGAAGAAAAATTGATTGTAAAAATCTATTTGCTCATGACTAGCAGGTATAACTCTAATCTTAAGTTTTATGATTGCTATAATTTATGTTGCTAAAGGACCAAAAAGAAAAAATAGATAGATAAATATTGTAATAATAAGATTATTTTTCTTCTAAGGATTTCTGCTTTTTGTGGGATAATAGTACACTTTCATTTTGCTTTCTTTTTCTAACATTTATTATTTTTCTTTCTTCTTGGTAAATTTCATAGGTAATCCTTTCTTTTCTTAGATAAGCTTCAAGTGTCTGAGTATCATTTATTTTGAAAATATAAGGAGCAATTTTTTCACTTTTGTTCCTTCTTCAAAATACACTATAATTCTTGGGTTCCATAGTAGACCTAATGTAAATTAGCTTCATATTAACTATCTTTGTCTAGACAAATATCATGATCACATTATATTGTAACACAATTGTGATGTTAAAAAACAATACTGATCCCTGAAATTCTTGGTATAGTGGCAATCATCTAAAGACATCATCAAATGTTGCCAATCTTTAAGTGCTGATACTTTATTAAATATGGGCTATTTTACCAAAAACTCTCTATTTTTGCAATATTCTAGACATGAAAAATAATGTAATAGAAAGTTTTTTTTGAGTTATTTAATTAAAAAAAAAGTTATAATGGTTTAAAGTTGGGTAACTTTGCTATTTTATTTGAAATTTCGGCAACTATATATCTAAACTGCAATTTACAGATTATTTAGCAATTATTCACGTGACAAAGTCGCAGATCTTTTACAAATTTGGATTTATTTATATATATTGGATTCTTTATAAAGCAAGATCAGCATAAAAATTTTCGGCAAGTGGCGCAGCAAGTGATGTCTTTAGATGATTCGCACCATAATACAAATGTTTACTTTGTCTGGTTTTGTTACAGCATGCCCCATATAATAAATGTATTAATACTGTTGATCATGTTGAAGAAGCTATAAATGATTCAACAATAGAAGGTAACAATAAACTTCTTAGATATAAAATGGAGATGGTATAACTTTGATAATTTTAGAAACTTAAACAAATACTATCATTTTCATTTTAATAGAGTAGTGATGATATTGGAAAAGTTTATGTTTCTAAAAAATCTGGTGACTCAAAAATTCCTTTAAGAATAATAATTTTAATAAGGATGGCCAATTAAATATTCTTGAGGCATTAACAGATGATAGAAAAAGATATTTGTATATAAAATTCCTCAACATGTAGAAGATCCATTTAAAGATATTCTTTATCCAGAACCTAGTTAAATTTATAATTCTAATATATAATTTCAACTTGTGGGTTTTAATTTCGACTTCATGTATAGTTATGATCCTGATTTTCAAATCAGAACATAAACTTATTAAATTATTTGATTTTATTCCTTAGGAATTAAAATCTTTGGATAATTATCTTCAAGCAATCTATCTTTTATCGACTCACCTGCACACAATAATTATTTATCAGAAAATATAATACCTGCATCAGCAGATTATCGTAGACAATATTATCTTCGTAAAACGATTACTCTTCAAAGGAGATATGGTGATTTATCAAATATCCCAGAAAATATTTTGCATTTGGTTCCTTGATTAGGTCTCTCGGGATACAAGAGAAGCTATGTACTATAAAAACGTATTATCAACTTTTTTATAAAGAGGTTTTTAAAAAGAGAAAAAATCTTCCAAAGAAACCTCAACCATTCCTATAAAAAAACTCCAAAAAAACAGTATTTTTTTTCAGATTTCCTATATGGAAAATGACCTATGAAAATATACTGAAAGCAACACTGAAAATGTGTGGAAAATGTCACAGAAAATTCATTGAATATATATTAATATGTTTTTTCATGCAGTTTCCATACGGAAAAACCAGAAAATGATTTTCGGAAAAAATTTTTATAGGGCAATATTTTGCTTTACCTGGATGATCATTTTAAGAAAAATTTTTAAAAAATAATAGATATTGCTTTTTAGATCTATTTGATAATATAATGCCAGCTTGTTTGGAATTTTGTTTTGGGAAGCCATTTTGATGAATATATATCATCAATTTTTCAGTTATGAACTGTTTTGAAAAAAAAGTTATAATAAAATAATGTTAGCCTTCCTTTCTGATGTTTTATATTGGCAAAGCATGTAAAAAACCCAAGGGTTAAAAGTTTATTAAATTTGCAAATGAAACATCTTATAACAAATTGGATTGACGGAGAAAATAATACATCTGCATCAAATAATTTATATGATTTTGAATTAATTCTTCGTGGATCTAAAGATGGATTCTCCAGTTCAGTCTTTGAAAAGAAATGTTACAATGTTAAACAAACTGTAACCATAATGAAAATCAAAGAAACAGGGGAATTATTAGGAGGATATAATCCAGTGTGTTGGAATAACAACAAATTTTTTGAAGAGGAAGAATATGAAATTGAAACAAATGATAGTTTTATTTTCAAAATAGATGAAAAGCAAATTAATAATTCAATATTAAGTAGAGTTGCAATACCTCAATCTGCAATTGGCCATGAATTACGGCCAACTGAGATATCAGTGAATTTTATGGATCTATATATATACAACAGTGACAATGGACCTTATTGTCATTATATCAGAGCACCATATTTTTATGAGAATGATTTAGATCTCATAAATAAGAACAAAATAGACCATTTATTAGAAGAATATGAAATATATAAAATTTTATAATCTATAATAAAATCACCTCTTTTTTTAAAAAAAATAATTTAAATATATTTGGTGGAAAAATAAAGGCTATTCAAAATTAAATCTAAGAATTCAAAAAAAAAAAAAAAATCATTCATTGATTTATTAAATTCCAATTATTATATATAAGACCATTTCATTGGCAGAACTATTTGATTATGAATAGCCCATATAACTTTTTAATTGCTATGATCTATGTTGTTAAGAATTAAAAGGAAAAAATAAATCAATATTGTAACAAGATTATTTTTCTTCCAAATGTTTCTGCTTTTTATTGGATAATAATACACTTTCATTTTGCTTTCTTAACATTTACTATTTTTCTTTCTTCTTGGTAAATTTCATAGGTAATCCTTTCTTTTCTTAGATAAGCTTCAAGTGTCTGAGTATCATTTATTTTGAAAATATAAGGAGCAATTTTTTCACTTTTGTTCCTTCTTCAAAATACACTATAATTCTTGGGTTCCATAGTAGACCTAATGTAAATTAGCTTCATATTAACTATCTTTGTCTAGACAAATATCATGATCACATTATATTGTAACACAATTGTGATGTTAAAAAACAATACTGATCCCTGAAATTCTTGGTATAGTGGCAATCATCTAAAGACATCATCAAATGTTGCCAATCTTTAAGTGCTGATACTTTATTAAATATGGGCTATTTTACCAAAAACTCTCTATTTTTGCAATATTCTAGACATGAAAAATAATGTAATAGAAAGTTTTTTTTGAGTTATTTAATTAAAAAAAAAGTTATAATGGTTTAAAGTTGGGTAACTTTGCTATTTTATTTGAAATTTCGGCAACTATATATCTAAACTGCAATTTACAGATTATTTAGCAATTATTCACGTGACAAAGTCGCAGATCTTTTACAAATTTGGATTTATTTATATATATTGGATTCTTTATAAAGCAAGATCAGCATAAAAATTTTCGGCAAGTGGCGC